GGGCTTCAGCTCGAAATTCTCTCTCTCCCGTAGATCCATCTGTGAGTACATTCTCTGAGGGTAGATAGAAGTTCTCCAATTTCTGACGTAGATATTTTTTTTAATTCTATTTTTTTTACATTTTTATGTTTAGCTGGAAAAGTTCTTGAAATTAACCATTGCTATGATCGCTGCCTCCTCTCTCTCCTTTTTTTCGAAACAAAAAAGTTATGGTAATTTTTTTTATTTAAAAAAAAATATATTTATTTTTTTGAGGTATTTTCAATTATATATGATAACTAAAACAGAACAAATTATTAAATAAAAACTCTTGAAATTATACAAACATATCAACAAATTAATTTTAAAAATTCAATATAATATTTCTTTGTTTCACAATAATTATGTAGAATTTTAAAGCATAATAAAAGTACCCAACACATTTTTTTTTGGTTATTCCCTCTCCCCCCAATCAAAATTTAAAATCTGCGCCTATGACTATGATGTCGATGCGATTGAAGAGGATAATATTGAAGGTGATAATAAGTAATTGTGTGTGAAACCATTGAATGCTTTACAGCACCTATTTCGTTATTTAATAGCCACACCTCGTGCACTCGATAAAAAAGGAAGAGAGAAAATAAAAACAGTAGTAATGCAGTACGCCACAGGTGCCAAAATCACAGGTTTTCTGGTTATACTCTAAATTTTGAAAATTGTTTCGTCTTTCATAGGAAATCAAAAAGTTGATTGTTTATCTGAACATTGTCGAGATAATGTTGCTATAGCTAAAATAGACTAATAGTGTTAGGAAAATCGAAAATTTTGGTTTGCTATTTTAGTTTCATTCGCTCTACATTCTATCCCAATAATATATTAATAACCATTCGTCAATTACACCGAGCGAAGGGCTACATTGCAACAACACTAGAGCATAAATTATATGCAACAGGAGTATTTCTAGATGTTGCTCAATCGTTATATACAGTCTGGCATCCGCGGCTTATTTAAAACTTTTCAGACGATCCATTTTACCACTGTCTTATTCTTCAATATTTTCTTTCTGATAGATTGTTTTTAGTCTGCTAAGGCACAGAACTTTCTCCTATTAAACCAGTCTTAGCAGGAGTGTCTCAAGGGTCAGTACTCGCTCTGCTGCTATATATAATTTACGCACATGATGTTCCATTCAGTTTCGAAACTCTGACCGTCACTTTCGCAGATGATACAACAATCTTAACAAGACATCAAAACGCCTTCGCAGACTCTAAAATATCATCAGATTAAATTTCATTACTTCTGCAAACTGTGGAAAATTCGACTCAACCAAGACAAATCACAAAATATTACTTTTACTCTTCAACAAATAACTTGCCATCCTATTTACCTTGATAATGTCCAAATTCCTCAGATAGTTCAATATATTGTACTGACATTAGATATGTGGCCCGCATATCAAGCATATCAGAACAAAATAAAAACTACGACTGCTATTTTCATCTCTTCATGACGTTCGAAATTAAATCAGTCAAAAATTGAATACATACACTTACTTCAACCCATTTGGACCTTTGCCTCACAGATATACGGGACTGCCGAAAAGACTCACATATGTAAACTATATGTAATATGTAAACTACATGTAAACCAACATATGTAAACTAAAGCATTTTCAATCAAACACTTTCAGGACTATGACCATAGCTCTCTGGTACTTTAGTAACATTACACTACACAAAGAATTGTAGATGCCAACACTGACTCCGAAAAGAAGCCGAGGGGCACTCCTTTTCCTCACCCCTACCAACGCTTTACACTATACTCTTTTCACAACTGCACACTCGGTTGTTGGCATTCCCAACAGGGGTGAGTTGAAAAATAAATATAAAAAGTGATGTTATTAATCACAAACTAACCTACGTCATGAAAACTGGTCGAAAAAGAGAGCATTACAGTTTCATTTTCTGTATTATTCATATCCCACAAAGTATATGGATTACTCCATGGATCACTCGTAAGGAATGGAACCAAACTGCCAGATCTTATTCTGAGATAATCCTTTATATTAGAGATACGGCTCCTCTGTAAACCGAAATGAAATATGCAGAGCGGAGAAATGCTCCATAAATCGCAAAGTATATCCCGCGCTACCGAGGGAAGAAGTATCTGCAGATAGGACAGTGTGGCCGGATGCCAAAGCCAGGCTTGCCAACTGCCAGCGCTGCCTCTATCCCGTCTGTGCCCTCCTCCAGTTCGGCCCAATGTCAACTTACACTAAATTATATTCTGTTGGGAAGCTATATGTTCACTAAAATATTTTAACACATCTTCAAGAAAATGAATTATCCTAATTATTGTAGTGTGTTGTTCAAAGTTAATCACCTCATATATTGGAAATATATTGATGAATGTTAAGGATTATTATATTTCTGAAAACAATTCAGTGGCCACTATAATGATTTTCTATAATCTTTATACGGCATAATTTCCACATTTTGGTTTCATTAGAAGATTTATTAATTAGAGTTTTAATACCATACTTTATGACATTTGGTGATTTTTTCTTTATTATCTGTAGGTATATGGTTGGTAAATCAAGAAAGAGCATTTTAAATTATTTTACTTAATGGAATTCATCGCATATGAACTCTGGCTGCAATGGGAAAAATTTTCAACGGAAAAAATAATCAACCTCTGCAAATGAAACCATAGGAGCAGACTTCTCCCCAAATAAAATTGGAGAGGGGACAATAATAAATAAGCAACATTTCTGTATCGTAGGAATAAACAATACTATATTCATTTTTAATTTGTTCAGGAGAGCCAATTTTGCATAACTTAGAGCTTTTAAAATTTGTTTCTTAGTAACTAAATCATTTAATTATAAAAAATGATATGATCTCCTTTACCTCCGGGGCATCGAATTAGTCTACTTGAATGAATGAAATATGTAAACTAAAACCAATTAAGAAAATAGAAAAATCAATTAAATGACTAAAGAGAGGATTAGAAGTAGCTACGAAAGTATGGTACCACGCCCAATGTTCTTATTATTGAAATTTCAGTTTATATTAAAAGATAATTACTTGTATACCAAGACAGACAAAGTAAGGTGTTCTGAAAGCACATACGTATATGAAGAGTGGTGAAGTTACACGGAGGGTGGGAACGGACTGGATGAATGTGGTCAGGAACAGAGAATGTTGGAGAGGACTTTTAATTCTGAAATTAATTCCCCGCCCTCTCCCCTTGCCTGGGAAAATTTTTAGTCTAAACGTCTATAAAGGGATAGACAAAAAAAAAAAAACTATACGATTGTCACATTCTTTTATAATTCAATATTAAAACGAGAATATTACGGAACGATTTGATTTTAGAATTGCTTATGCTGCTTAAATTTCATTATAAATCAATGTTGAACTTTCTGGTTTCTAAAAAATATATTTTTTATTGTTTTGTTTTATTCAATCTTAGCATACATTAAGCAGTATTACAATTTATATTTATTCATATAAATGATTTGAGCATTCTAATTTTTTTTTAATTTTAATTTTTATTGACACTTGAAGTAGTTTCATGTTCCTTTCCAATCAATGTCAAATCGTTCCAAAATCATGCAACAAACAAAAAGTCAGAAATAAAGTTTTGAAAAAAATGCTAAATTGATATTTTATAATAGGATTTAAATGATTCCCTTCAATTATAAAACGTAATTTTGATTCACAATTGTGGGTTGATGGTTGACTGTAGTGAATAATGAAGAGAAGGATAGTTGGGATGATCAGTCAAAATAAAAATGGCAAAAATAAATAATAATATTTAAATACTATTGCGACTTAAGAATAATAATAAATTTATTATTTATTTTTGTTGAAATAAATATTATTATTTATTTTTGCTATTTTTATTTTGACTGATCACCCCAACTGTTATTCTCTTCGTAATTTTGATTATTTGATGTAAGGATATTTACAGATACAATATTTTTTATCTTATTTTACCAAGTTAAAATATATGTATTATTACCGTGCCTAAATTGGTGTCGCAATTTTTTTTTCTTTAATTTTCTTTAATTTAATTTTAATTTTTTCTTATAGTCATTCGAAATAATTCATAAATAATCTATCAGTGTTGGTATAATACATTTTAATTATTGCATTAATGTATGTTGATATAACACCCACGGCAGAAAAGTGAATCAAAGGGCGAGAGAGAAACAATTAACGACGTGCCCCACTCCTCCCAAAGGGCCCTTCACAGGCGTCCTCCTGGAGTCGAGTAATTGCAATCTTATTCTGCAGCCAGTCTTCAAGCTAAAAGAGCATTCCTGGAAGTAGAGGATAAAGGGGTAAGCACAAATGGTTTGATTAACATCAACTTACACAAACTCACAAATGATAACTCATTCTTGTCGCAATTTCTCTTTCGAAGGCAAACAAACTAAAAATTAAAGTAACTAATTTAAAAAGATAAATAAAACACCAATATAGTACAAATAAAAAATATAATAATTATTTCATTACTGGTTAATAATTGTGAATTCCATTTTCAAGTTCTTGTTACATTCATTGATTTCTTTTTGATCTGTTCTTCTTGTTCATCGTCTTATAATTCTGTATGTTTTGGTAGAATGACTAATTTTTCTCTTGTAATTTTGAATTTAGGACATTCTAGAATAATATATTTAACTTTTCATTATATATTACATATTTCCCTTATTGGGGCTCATGTTTTCGTGATAAGTAATATTTTAATAAAATCCTTAAACGGCTGAGGACAGTTTTTTCATTTGAATTAATGACCTTTTATCCTTTTTTTAATTTTGAGTCATTCTATTCATATTGATTTTGTAATATTTTACATATTTCTAATTTTCTCCAGAATATCATCTCTTTGAATTGTATTGATTGATGTTATCAGGATCGTTCCTGGTTTCCTTCCCAAAAGAGCCGACTGATCTGATATTTCATTACCGGAGATTCCGCAATGTAAATATAATCTCCGGTAATCCAAACGAAAAATATTTCATTTTCGCTCCTCTTTAATTACCACCAAATAAAATAAACAAATAAATAAAAAAAAATAATCATGAATAAAAAATGGATACAATTTATTCTATTATTTCTTTAGTGTTTATTAATGCCAGTAATCATTTTTCATTTGTCCAAAGGCAACTCTGCCGTTCTCTTGATCGAAGACGGTGTAGAATCTCTTCATGAAGGCATCTCCGAGAACCCATGTCTTTTCTGGCAGGTCCATCCCGACAAGGGTGGATATGCAAGTAGTACCAAACCTGGTTGGGAACTGTAAATGGAAAAATAAAAGACAATAAGATATAACAAACAGATAGGGATAGTCAAACTAAGTACATTAGAGTATCGCATTTTAGGCATGACTTACCCTCAAAACGTAATCTTCTCCATCGAGATCGTAATCGATGCCATTGATAGTGAAAATTAGGCTAGGCAGATGTTCTACGTTCTGGCAATTGATCTGGAAATGAGATATTGTGTGACTATAGTTTAATTTTCATTATGTATTTTGGAGAAATTTCCCGATGTTAAAGAGAAATGTTAGATTTATAAAAGTAAGAAAATTCACGCCAAGATTCTTTGCGATTGGTTTCTTTTTATATCATGAGTAAGGTCGTTTATAAATTGATAATACTTGAAAAACTGAAAAGGTTAAAGTAAAAAAAAAAATTTTATCCATCCAAAGTTAACGTACTTGCATATCTGCTTTAACATTTTGGCATATTGTGAGAGAAATTGATATCTATGAATAGTTGAACTTGGTGCAGTATTTGGGTGCCTATAACTAAATATTTCAGTTCATGACAAGTAAATTTCGTCTCATGTGTAGTTGTATTTGACCATCTGAAAAAGTCTTGAGTTTAGGGGTGGAAGGCATAAGCCTTTCTATTCATCTTTTAAACAATTTAAATATGGCTAGAAGTCAATTTTACTATTTGTTGAAGTGTTTCAATACATATGAAAGTGGATTCATTTTATTTGAATTGGATTTTCCTGTTTTGTTTTTTTAAGTTTTTTTAATTTCTATTTTGCGCTCCCCGAAGCCCAATTCTATATCTGCTCCTGATTAAACTTTTTTTTTTCTTTTGACTTATGATATAATAGTAATGGCAATTAGTGAATTAGATGTTAATTACGAAATATAATGGCATGAGAGGCATGAGGTAAAGCAATCCCCAGCCGATTCTCCTTATGGACTGATATCTACATTAATTGTTAGGTGAGCAAGTCCCTCATCAGCCTTCTGTGGGCTTTGCTAGGCATTCATATTGTAGCTATGCCATTTAATATTATGTTGGGGTGTCCTTGTAATTTGCCATGGAATCGTTTATAATGGATTCGTTAACCGGCGGCAAATTTCAGTTTTGAGAGTTTTCAAAAAATTGAATTAGAAGTCTTAGCCATTGATTTAGTGTTTTTTTATTTCGTGATATGTGAGCTCGATGTCACTTTTTCCGTCAAATTAATACAGATACCAATAACATCATATAAGAATATTTAGCCCCTAATATGCAAAATAACATTTAAAATAATAACCAATAAAATGTTTATCAGTCGTATTAACAGCAGATATATTCGAGTAACAGGGATTTAACTACAAAAAATTTGTCTAACAACACTCAAGTTTCACGTTTTTACATATAGACCAAGGTAGTGAAAGGTGTCAAGGTGGTGGAATATGCATTTTGTCAAGAAAGGGCATATTTCATGTCAAAGGGTAAACGTGAAGTAGTGCGATTTGTCTTGATTAAGTCAGATTTTTCAAAGTTTAAACTATTGATGTAATCAGCTAGATATTGTTGTAAGGTCTGTGAGGCGTATATTGGATTTTCGTGTCTTGTTAAAATTGTTATGTCGCTGTTAAAATGTTGGAACAACAAGGTATGTCGTGGGTTAAACTTCCTCCTAGCTCCTAAGATTCCTGAAAAACACACTGAAGCTCAGATATTTAGCTGTTTAAAACAGCTTTTTATCTCTTCTTCAAAACAGTCGTTTTCTAAATGCCTTCTTAGTCATCGAATTATTTTTATTATAATGGGGTTATGACGATATTGTATTTAATGCATATTATAAAAGAAAAATCTTATAAACCTCGTATGTGCCGTTGTGGTAGCTACAACCACCAGTGATGTGTTGATAAAGCTGGTTGACTTCTTCAATTGGGCCTGCAATGACGGGAGAAGCCGAGTCAATTATTGCTTGGCATCCTTCTTTACAAACAGCCAGTCCGTTCAACGTGTTCACTCTAAATAAACAGTAAGTTATTTATTATTAATTATATTTTTCTTTGGTTAAATTTTCTACTTATAGAAAACAATAAAAAAGATGGAGAATATATATATATATATATATATATATTCTTTAAAAAGATCGTTAAAAATAATACCTATCGACTGCAATTTGCCAGTTAGCTTTCTTAGAAAGTGTGATATATTTCAATGCAGCTTCATCAACGTATTCATTATCGATACCGAATATAACGTCACCAATGTGTTCAGGAGTTTTAGTATAAGGATCTCTGTAATAAGAAATACACATAATTAGTTTTAAATTCATCTCTTAAGGCATTAAGATAGTAAGTGGTGTTCGATTTAATATGAAATCATGTACACAATACTAAGAGCTAAAGTAAACATTATTTCATTCGTATAGAATAAAAAATGTTCATTTATGTGAATCCAGATTAAGTACTTTATGAGAAAAAAATAAAAAAAGTGGAATTTTGCACTCGAAAGTTATTTATAGCATAAATTCTACCACCGCTTACTCAATTTTAGGTATGTGAATAAGTTTCCGCCGTTTTTTTTTTTTTTTTTTTTTTTTATAAAAATGAAAACTTCATTCATAGCAAATGGTCATTCGCAGGTCATTCCAAGTATTGTTAATCGCTAGTCACTATTTTATCCTATCTTTCAGGTAAACAGTAAAATACGGATTCCAGGTATTTTAAGGCAATCCAATCATCGACCCATTTTTTAGTTTCGTCAAAAGAATGGAAGCATTGCTGAGCCAGACCGTGTATCAGCGATCGGAACAAGTGGTAGTCAGCAATGTCTAGTGAATACAGCGAGATGGAGGGAAAGAACTTTCCATTTCAACGTTTCCAAATAGGTTTTGACCGATTTTGCAGCATGCGGCCGAGCTTCATGATATAGTAAAATTACCTTATCTTGTCGCTTTTGTTATAGGACTAGGCTAAAACGCATCAATTGTTGTCAATAACAATCTCCTGTTATGGTTTCGGGGCTGAAGACTGAAAAAGTTGATTTTTTTTCTTTTTGGCGCAACTGGACGGTCGTTATCTTCGAGATTAAAATAATTGTTTTTAAAGCGTCGCTGAAATCTTTCTCCGTCCGTTCTTTTATATAGAGCATGATTGCTGTAAGTATCTATATAAATTCTATGCTCTTCAGCTACAGTTTTGATTTCAATTCAATTATTTTCAATTCTTCATGTTTGAAGGAATATGAAAAATGTTGTACACACTTTGAGTATTTAAAACAGATTGATAAACCAAATAAGGAGGAATAGCTCTTGAAAATAGTTGGTTAATTTTAACGATAAAGTTATGATCAAATTTCGAATGGATAGTTTGACTCTTTAGCTAATATATCGTCGGTTTATTGAGATGGGTAGGTGATGTTCTACAATCTTACACAAATAACAAGTCAGTTGAAATTTTGGTTTGGAAATATATATAGGTATTTATGAATTTTTCAATATACTGACGTTTCGTAGCGGAAGGAGAAGACCGCTGGAGCGATCCCTTGATTTGCCATGTTCTGTACGGGGATGACTTCCGGTCCACAAACGGGTGAGGGACTGGGGTATGCGAGACCAAAGATTCCGTCGAAGATCTTGTCTTCAAATCCGGCAGTTACCAATTCGAATGATTGGTCCTTTACACTTGCACCTCCGATCTAAAATCAAGTAAGAAATCTTAATGAAGTAAAAAATTAATGAAGTATTCCGAAATTAATCAGATTTGCTGGACTTATTTGCTAGACTATAAACCTTAGAAGCAAGCAAGAACAGACTACAATATATAAATATATTAAAAAATATTGAAAATATATTGGAAGACTTTACCTCTAAGACATCTTTTTTGTTCAGAGCATTAAAATGACCAGTTGTATATGGCCTAGAAACTTGACAGTCAGACAAGTTTTGAAAACTTGAAGATTCTGTACTTCTGAATTTATCGAAAGGTATCCACAAAGCTGGAGTTGCCGTGTCGAAGAGAACGTTGAACTTCTGGGCTGGAGAGCCCAATCCAACTTCACCAACATAATGGACCTAGGCATTTAGACATTTATATGTATAAAAGAAAGATATAATTCACTTAAGAAATAATTCGTACTCTAATAGTTGAAAAAAATTTGGTCTCAATTGTGGGATCGCGGTGGTCGAGCGAGTTAAGGTGCCTGCAAAAATTTTATATGAAATCCCGTCAGCGAGAATTAATAATACATAAAAAAATTGAAATAAAATGATTAAGTAAGTACATGTCCTCTACTTGACTACTTAGACTACTACGGCGTGGGTTCAATTCTCGAATGGAGATGGTAACCTCTTCATCCTGAGATTCATAGAGAGGACACCGACATCTGCGTCTTGAACCATGCTCCAGGTAATTCAGGTTGGAGATTGGGTACATGGCTGATAAACTCCTATCCCATGAAAAACTGGGTGGAAGATTGCCAACCATCCTGCAGGGAAGTACCTGATGAAGAGGGAGTGAAATGTGATCGCGAAGTAGAAAGGACAAAACTATCACCACTGTCGCCTATAACAGCCCCATGCTGCTTGAGAAGACCAATGACTTAAAAAGTCAGCAAACCAATCAGATGGTTAGGCCATGTGGCCTATATACCCAGAGACTCTGTTCCCTAATGCCTTCTCGAGTATTGACCTAGTGGAAGACAAAAGAAGATGACGCCTAAGATGGCTGGACAAGGCGGAGGACATTTTGAAAGGGATGAAAATCTAGAGATGGCAAATGTTCGCTCGGGATAGAGAAGAGTTGAGGGGGATTATAAAAGAGGCCAAGGGTCTTATAGGACCGTGGCGTCAAAAATAAATAAAGTAGTAGTAAATTTTTTTTTTTAGTAAGATCTAATTACAAAAATCGTGCTTTGAATAACTTGAAAATTATATCTCTTCTGGAATATTAAATGTACTCATTGAAACATAATTAATTCTGTACGAATGTAGAAAAGTCTTCTAAATTCTGATTGTTTCTCGGACTGACTTATTGAGCGCATCTCAAATAGCTTGAAAAGACATTAATAAAATATTTTCGAGCAAAGCCACAATTCACAGCTATTTAAAGCTTAATCGCAGATCAAATGTAAAGCAAATTTTAATTTTTATAATAAGTAAACATTAATATTAATTTTCTAGTTTCCATTTATTCTTGATATTATCACAGAGAAATTCTCCAAATTTCATCAGAACCTTACTCATAATCCAAATTCCGTAGCACAGTCCCTATCTAGCACCACCTATCACTACAATCCTCCTCGGAGTTTTGGCAAAGGCCAGCTAATCCACTCAAGTCATGAGTGTCTGTGGTCGTAGCGCCCTTAGTCAGCCTCCGCTGGCTTTTAATATCAGTGAACTAGCTGAGGGAGAAGCGCAGGGGTCTCTTGAAGCCCCCGCACACAAGTGGGAGGGACAAGTTGGGATGGTAGTTCATATGGCTGATTGTAAATAGTGTAAATAGGTATGCCTGCGTCTAAGATGTTTATTTTTATTACTTTCTTTTTTTAAGAACATTTTAATTCTACTTTATCAATTTATTTTTATTATATTATTACTATTATTTATATTTTCTTACTTAATTATGATATTTTATTTTTTTCTTATTTTCTGTATATTATTTTGAAATTGCATTATTTTTTGTTTTTTGCTTTTGTAAATATGGTGTGAATGTGATCTCTGAACGCTATTATAAATGTCCTTTATTGAGACATATTGTAATATTTAAAAAAATAAAGTTAAAAATAAAAGTTTCTAATAAACTTACATATCCATAATCCTTGAGAAAACGTGGCCCAGTATTGTAGGTCTTCATGTTGTTAACGTACTTTTGGAAAGCCTCAGCATCTGATAGCTGAGTTCTCTTAAGGGGTATCCTGTAAAATAGAGTTCATATATTACACTTTACTGATGGATTTTAATAACTTTACAAATGAATTTTTTTTTTGTAAAGTAATGATTAACGAAAGAAGCATTTGTCAATGTCCTAAATAATTCATCTATATTTACAAGTAATAATATAGTTGTTATTTTTTACAAGGAACTCTCATGCAATATAATGCCAGAGAGGTTCGGTCCGTGATTACATCAAACTTAGCAGTCAAGGAAGCTGATTGAAAACGAAAGCTTTCTTGTGCTGAGAGCGACGATTTGTTGACGTTGGGGAAGGGAAAATTAAATATAATTATTATATTTCATTTTGTAAAACTTTTTTAAGAATTCGGAAACCTTTAAATTCATGAAAATATGGAGTGATTTCACAGAAGGTTATAAGCCGATGTCGAATTAGACTTATAAAAATTTAAGTGAAACCGAAAAAAAAATATATACCTGAGTAAGCCTTGAGCCCCAAGGGAGAGAAATAAAACCAACAAATTGCAGATTGTGACACGCATCGTGGCCACTATTGTCGAGTGAATTGGTTTCTGGTGGAATACAGAGCCCTTTTATAGCGATCTCAAGTGGTCCTCAATCAGATACCGCAGTCAACTGATAAGAAAGTTAGATTTCTTAGAGTTCGGTACCTCAATTTGCTCCAGAGAGGCCTAGGAATCGGCAAAAGGTAAATAACTGTAATTAATAGACGAAAAGAAAATATATCCAACTAAATAAAATTCTAAAGAAGAAAAACAGTGTCTATTTGGTTTGAATTGCGGCTCATGGCTGGAAAGTAAATCATCCATTCCTAAAAGATTAAATTATATATATATATATATATATATATATATATATATATATATATATATATATATATTTCTGTGATTAAGATTTTATAATATTTGTATTTATGATCATTTTTTAACCATGATTATTTTTTAAGAAACTTGTGCTTAAAACCGAAAATTCACTCTTTAGAAGGGCTTGATATAAAATTTCAACATTTACATTTAACCAGTTTCGGTTAGATTCATATCATTATTGTCTTTTCGAGACTACAACTTTTTTCCCTAGATATTGTTCGAATAAAGGTATTACAAAACTTTCAAACAAGACTTGTAAAAAAAATAAATAAAAAAAGTTTGTGATACTAGATCGAAAAATATTAGTCCGATGTCTGATGATTCTTTACTGGAAGCGTCTATTAGTTTTCGTAATTTAATATACATTATAAATCGTTTAATACAATTACCAGTATGTTTTTCTTACTTATAAAAAAAAATGTTGATATAGAATAAATTTGAAATCCACGCAGAGCAATGTCAGAAAACTGCACATAAAAAAATGGCCTGTCTCCTTTCTAAATTATACAATTTACAAAAAAATGTAAATATTCTTTTTTAAATATCTAATATTATATTTGTTCGTTTCACAATAATTATGTTGAATTCGTACACATAATAGGTAGTACATTGAATATTGAATAATAGTTCAATTCATAATAGAGGAAGGAGATGGTCCGGGGTGGCGGTCATAAATAGGCTAAATAGTGGCAAAACTATTGTATTGAAAACCAACGTTTCGACCCGACTTTGCAGGTCTTCTTCAGGGATAGAACGGACAAGATACAAAAAGATATAGGGAATTGTGGAAGTTACATAATATTTAGACAGAAAATTATAAGCAATGTGAATAAGCTTATTAAAATTATAAACAGTGGGTACATTAAAATATAAACAGAGTAATTGACATGTAACAAACTTTTATATGTATATATTTATAATTTATTATTTCATAATTTTTTTTATCTTGTATCCATCCATATTTTCAAATTATAGATACTGTAATTTTCCAGGGTTTTTTCCCCATTACCCAAACAGGTCAGCAAATTTCCCCAATACCTACCCTTACCCTGATTTTCCAGTTTTAAGTAAAACTCCTAGCTGGAGACACCTATAAGTCTCTATTTTTATTCTTCTAATTTTATATATTTATTTTTTTTGTTTTCTTTTTTTCTATTCTTTCTCCACATTCCTTTATGTATATTATTTCATATTATATCCTTTTTGCTTTTCTTTCAGTCTCTCCTGTAGATTTATTCATGACCACCATCCCAGACCAACTCCTTCCTTAATAAGTACTACAGCATTTTTTTTTTTTTGGTGCTTAGCCCTCTCCCCTCCCAATCGAAATGAAAAGTCTGCACCTATGATGTTTTGAGTCATTTGTCTTTGTATCTGCGATATATTTAGGTCACATAATACATTTTTAATAATTAGGACTTATTTGCTATTAAGTATTTTGATAACATTCTTATTCATATTAAATTAATCATTTATTTCCATTTCCATTAGAAGAAAAATAAGATATAACTATATATATATATATATATATATATATATATATATATATATATATATATATATATATATATATATATATATATATAACCGTCTTCTTTTAAAAATTTTGCTTATTTATTTTAATATTTATCTAATTGACCCCTTTGTCATCTCTTCCTTTTCATCTTTAATTTATCCATAATCATTCCGTCCTATATTATGGGTGATAAATATTCAGGATGCAGTCTTTTTAATTTTTTTTTTTCCAACGTTTCAACCCAAACATGTGGGTCATCTTCAGGGCGTGCTTTGAGCACTGAAGTTGTTCATGTACTGAAAATTCATTATTATTTAATTAATTATATTGCCATCTAATTATGTCAGTTTCTAATTAATTTTGATTAACGAAAAAATAGTAAAATAAGTGATATAAATCTTACCCGAAAAAAAGAGAATAAATTCATTTAATTACTCTGCCCACTTTGTGAGTTATGTATCTTTCAAAGCAATTTAATAAACTTTATAAACTAACTTAAACACTACTTTTTTTTTTAATTTCTGAATAAATTACTTACACGATTTCACGGAGCAGGGACTCGAGGAAACTTGATTTATCAAAACTAATTTAAAATGAATGGCTACACCACTCCATGCCGTAAGTGCTATTAAGGCACTTTTCCGGCTGTTGCCTTCTTTGGTACTATTAAATGCATATGGGAAAAGATCATCAATTAAAAAAAAAATGTTAATAATATGGCACTCCCTTGGCAATAATGATCCTTGTTAGAGAAGAAGGCAATGCACTTTATCATATAAACATAATTTAATAATCAATAAGGGGACTTCACAGTCAGTGAATCACCTATTTGAAACAACTTTATTTTTGGTGTATTATCTAATATTAAAATGTAATTTTCATATGTACAACTAATTATAATTATAATTATTCATATTTGTTTCCTCTCTATACTTCTAAACTAGTTCTGCAATGTATGGTATCTTATTTTTATATTTAAATTTTACTTCTATGTACGTTATAATTTTTTTTCATTTTTTTTTTCACTCATATTGTACTTCTATCTATAATTTCTTCATTCTACTTCATATGTATATGTATATATTTTTAATTTATTAGTCCATAGATATAGTATTTTCCCTTGTATTCATAGATATATTCAAAGTTTAGACACTGAAATATTCCAGGTTTTGTTTTACATTTAATACTTAGCCCCTCACCATTTTCCAACCAGGTCAGGAAATTTCCCCAAAGGTACTTACTCAGGTTTTTCAGTTCTAAATGAAACTCCTTGCTGACACACCTGTAAGTCTCTATTTTTATTCTTCTAATTTCATTTGCTTAGTTATTTATTTTTATGTTTTCTTTTCTTTCTCCACATCCCTTTAAGTCCCTTCTTTCATATTATATCCTTTTCATTTTCTTTCAATCTCTCCTATAGATGTATAGGAGTATATTCACAATCGCATATATTATATTATATATTTTACTACAACAATTATTACCATATATTTACTTCAGTTTAGGATCTTGTTACTTAGCTAACTCTGTTTATATTTTAATGTACTCTTACTGTTTACAATTTTACTAAGTTTATTCACATTTTTCATAAGTTTTTGTCTAAATATTATGCAACTTCCACAATTCTCTATATCTTTTTGTATCTTGTCCGTTCTAGCCCTTAATACCTGCAAAATCGGGTCGAAACGTTGGTTTTTAATAAAATAGTTTTGCCTCTATTTAGTCTATTTATGACCATCTCCTTCCTTAAAAATCCAACGGTCAACTATTAAGTATTCGACAAATATTTAAGATTTTTATAAATCAAGATCTTAAAAGTAAGTTAAATTTGTCACTTAACATTTTTTTCATCATTGTTTAACATTACTCTTCATCGTTTTTTTTTTTTCATTTCTATGATCTTTTTAGTGATATTTGTCAAATATTCTACTTCTTTAATACGGATCATTTCCACTTGGTTTTCTCGTCTCCTGTAGGAATCTCTCAAGTTTATTATTATCGATTTATTCATTAAATCTGTGTTTTAAATTAACGAAATTTAGAGATAAAACAATACCAAAAACACCAGTAAATCATCCATTTCTGAGAATGAATGATTTTTTTGGCCAAATGTACCGAAAAAGTTCAAACATTTTTAGGTTAAGAACCTAGATTATATATATATTTTTTAAATACCCCCATTAAACAAATTCTTTTGAGTTATGCATCTTAAGTAGTTTCATCAAAATTTAATTATATGACTGATATGAATCACATAAGAATGTCTCTTAAGTATTGGATATGAAAATAGATTTGATTTAAAATAATTTTATAATTAAAAAAAGAATCGTAAAAACTTATTTGTTCAAGTAATCTATATTAAATTAATAAAGTTATTATTATAAGGTCAAATTTATTGGAAATCTTTGGACCTTTTTGAATCAGACCAAGTCGAGTGCCAGGAAAACGATTACAAAATAATCACTGTAGATGTTACACAACGCACTACACTCAATTACTTCAAGTAAGGTATGATTAACAACTTGAATCTTTTTATGATTTTATAATTGGTGATAATCGTATTGAATTAGAAACATCTTGTCCGTTAAGAGCTACTCCTCCAAACCTTTAAGTCAGTATAAGTATAATTAATAAAAGCTTGTATAATTTCTGCTCAAATGGGTTAATATTTAATTATTTAAATCTATTATCGGGCCCAAAGAGGCTAAATTACCGTAATGTTGTTGACACGTTCTGGTTTATTATTTTTAATAATCAATATTTGTAATCGACAAAGAAAAAAATAGTTAATTCCCTTTCAAAATTTGAGGTTTTACGTTCCAAATTATGTAAAAATTCGAAACGTTACGACGTCCTACAACAGGATCGATTGTTTTGATGTTTAGTATGAATGTCCAAAGGGAACCCGAATATGATCCTCGGAACACGACATTAACACCCGCCCTTTACATTCAAGATGGCGGCCGAAAAATCTGTATCGCTAGATTGAAGCGCCTATAGGGATGGAGTGATTTCAATGAAAGTTGGTCCAAGTTTTCTCTCCCATGCCCTTTAAATTTATGTATACAACCCTACTTCAGCGAAAAATACTTTCCTTTTAAGATGGCGGCTCAAATACTTTTGCTATACAGATTGTAGCACCTACACGAACGATTTCGATGAAACTTAGTTAAAGTCTTCTCAATCGAAGCCCTTCAAACTTTTATATATGCTATACTTCATCGAAACGTTACGAGTTGTTTTTATAAAACATTCGCTTATGACTCAATAGTAGTTTGCCGCAAGGTAGTAACACAATACCATGCTGTTCATGCAGACTGAAAATTACTTACAGTACTTGATTTTTTATGACTTCCCATCACCTCGGAAGGAATTAAAAGTTATATATTAATTTTTCGTGAATCCTTAGCGTTCTGATTGTATATAATCCTATGTATTATTTCTCAAAGGTGTTTTTTTTTTTTTTTTGTCGGGAGGCCATAACTTCGTCAATCCTTCATCAAATCCAATGATTGACTACTCATTTGGAAGATATTCTTCTCTTTCTTACTCGAAAAATAGTCCTATCCTACAGAAATTTCTGGAAAAAAAGTAATGAAGGAAAAGAAATTTTATTTGCGAATAACTCAAAAAGTATCCATTTTTTACTGTACTATACCCATGATAATTAGAGAAATTACAAAATTACCTACAAAACAAAAAAGTATCCTTAAAATTGAACAATAATTTACAAATATACAGTCCATTAGTATTGGTATACTTAATAATGTCCTCCTCTAAGATATTGCATTTAGGAGTAGAATAGTCTGCTAAACTTTTTTTCCTGCCCGATATATTAACTTTTTCATTTCTTAAAGGCATTTGTTTCTTTTTACATTTTATTTTATTTTTTTAATAATTTAGAAAATCGCATGATCGGGGCATTATTTTGTCTTTCTTACTTTTATTATCTTTTCAGTCAGCGTTTAAAAATAGGACCTAAGAAAGCAATTTGTACAAATATTTTGGTCTATTATGTTAAATGGAATATTGTAATCGACCAAGAAAAAAATATTAATTCTTTCCTTACATAATATATAGGAACTAATTATTTCCATATTGTTTTGATATTTCTTCACTAAACAAATTTTTCTACGAATTATTCGCACGGACCAACTAGTACATTTATATTATTATTGTTAATTTCCAAACGTATTTTTTTTTTAGCCTAATCTTTGGAAAAAGTTAATGACAACAACAAAAGAACATTTTTTTAATTTTCATTTTTACTAATAATAATTTTTCTATATTTGCTAAATCAGTTTTCCAAACCTGAACCGAGACCTAGAAAAGAGCCCGACATGACATCCTGTGATGGATGGCAATCCGGGCCAATAAAGGTGCAATCAACCAGTTGATTGCTCGGACGTCCTTTCATTCACAATCTATCCATTTGCCAAGCATTGCTCAGGTTTCATTTAATACCTGTAAATTTTCAATTCGAAACGGCGAAATAACAAATCAAAAATAATGCGTTTATTTCTTATTTTCAATATTTGTTAAACGTTATCTACTTGATTTAAGTTCTAAATTTTTTTAACTTATTCAATTATTTAAGTTTTATAGGATTTTATAATCATGATTTATATCAAACGAAAGGGAATTTCATGAAGAAATGACCAATGGTAATTTCGAAACCGAAAACCTAGCTATTAGTCCGTGGTACAGACACCTTTTTATCAAATTATTAATATCCGGCTATAACTTTGTAAATAGCTTCATCTCATCGTAACCAACAAGTATTTTATTTGCGAAAATTCTCGGAATTGGGGCATTTTCAACATGGAGATCGACAAACTTTGTATATTTAATTAGGTACTATAAAATTATGAATATTCATTTTCTTTCCATTTGAGTTATAAAATAATATGATCACAAAATCGAAAAAAATGGATAAATCTTTAAAAAAATATTGGATCGTTTGGCCTATATAACCTCGTTATTTTGATATTTTGGGAGTGGAGGACAAGCCTAACGAATCAATATTTTTGTAGGCCAAATTTTTTTTCGATTTTTTATCATATTATCTTACGGTTCAAGTGGAAAATAATTTAACTCAATTATTCGTTAGTTTTTTGTACTTAATTAAATAGACAAAGTTTGCTGATCTCCAGATTGAAAACGCTCCTATGCTGATAATTCGAGCAAATAAAATATTTTTAGGTTAGGATGAGATGAAGCTATTTACGAAGTTCAGGCGGTTGTTATTAATTTGATAAAAAGGGCTCTGTACTAAACAATTACGAATAAATTCATTTAAACAATTTGGAGGTTTCAAAAGTTGACTAGTCGAGATCTGATAAATTGTCTTTTAAATATTTTGTCGTCGAAATTGTGAACCTGCACTGACTGGACTTGATGTCATGATAGGATTTGATGTTACGGCTGCATGGATTTCCATCGACATAAAAATTAAATATCGTATTTATTGCAAGTCATCTTTATATATTATTTCCTCAAAACTTTTTTTTGTTGCTACGTCTTATCTTAATAAAATATTCTTCAAATCCAATGATTGACTGTTAATTTTGAAGGCTGTCTGCTGCAGTTACGAAAAACATACACATCTCAAAGAAAAGTCAGTACAAAATTTATGGAGATAAAGAAATTTTACTTACGCATAACCTAAAAATTTTTGATTATACCAATTATGTTTTGAGCAAAATTGAAAACAAAAATCACCAAAATTGAGCCATATTTAGCGAGAAAAATTAGGAAGTACTAGTACTGTTTCAAGGCCAACAGTAGGTGGTGATTAGACTAATCCAGTAGGTTTTTCTATTTAATTAATTATGATTGTCCACTTTATAGAAGTTGGGTGTCCGAGGAGGTTCTGGGTGTCCGTGGTCAATCCACAGATGATGAAATATTACTTAATATCAGCCGGATATGAACTAAGGACATTCAGCTTAGCAGTCCAGTGCCCAACTTACTGAGCTACTCTTCTCCCGATATTTATCAATGATACTACTAATTGTAATTTGTACTCATGTTTTGGTATATTATTATTAACTAAAATTAATTCCTCCTTGATATAAATTCATTTCATTTATTTATTATTATACCATATTGCCACTTGTTTACGCACCAATAGACCGCCCGAATTATTCGCAACGGCCGACTTGTCCAGATTCTATTTCAGTTCAGATATATTCTACAAAAATATTAGAAAATAATACCTAGTAATGATTTAACAGTTTGTATATCTATTGTAGCATTTATATCTCTCACACAAAAACTAGTTTGAAAATTGAAATGAGGGTCGAAACTTCAACACGGCTTAAGTGGCGCCCACAATCCATCGCTAACGTTTTTTAAGTGATTAGCCTATCTATGCATGCTTTGGTTGAATTGGACACTAATTAAGTACTAGATTACATTCAGAATAAAAATAATTCTTTTTTTTCGAGAAGTTGATATGATACATAAATGCTGTTACACATTGTAATATGTTTTATTTCAAGTTTAATTTATATCTAATGTATATCGAAACAGTTTGAATGTAAGAAAATGCTCACTTGTTTTTTTAAAGATCCAAAACCCAGCTATCAACCGAACAACATACCTCTTCCAGTTAATTAAAATGGGACTACAATCGCAGGTGCTGGATTGTGTAACTTCAATTTCAAACATGGCCTTTTCTTCATTATTTATGATCTGTATTATAGGCTGGAACATGTTAACTTCTGCTATGATGTAACAGGTGTCCTAATATTTCCTCTGAATATGATGTAATCCTTAAATGATAGATCCAAAACATTATCTTCATAACAGTTTTGATTAATTTTAGATAAGATTACTATTTTCAGTACTTCGATCAATTTCTAATAAATCATCCATGGACAATAGTTCTAATCATAATTAATTTTTTAACTGGAATTCAATAAATGGATCATGTTATAATAAAAACATGAATCTTTGAATATATATTTCTTGTTTTTATTCACTTTTATGAATGAAACAGTATACTTTAAGCAAAATTTGAATAGGTATTAGAATATTAAACCGGAAATAAAATAATGCTTTATTTTAAATTAAGTACATTTAATTTTCATATTAAACTCTAAATATAAAGAATCCGTCCAAAACGTTTAAGAAAACATGTCCCACACTTCAAATTAACATGAAGCCGAAAGCTAGTCACTTCAGTAGCAAAGTGCTGCTTCGAACTTAACTTAACCTAATGTTACTTAAAGGGGCTTAACTCAATCTGGCTTAAGGTAATAGTTCTGGCTTAGGTAATGTATAGAAATGGTCAATGAGAATGGACTTTGGTTCATCACTTACAAAGGGGATGATAATTAGTGAACAGGCCTCTAGATATGCCTAGAGAATTAGAATCAATAAGGAACTGGGTATATTATATAGAGAGATGGGAGTACCATTGTACCTTATAACCAGCTGGACTGAATAAGATAGTTGGGAAATGTGGGAAAAATGGATCCCTGTAAAATTCTTGAAAAGAACTGCTCGAATGCTCGAAGGGAAGCCAGGAGGTTGATAAAATCGTGGGAGGCCTCAACTGCGATGATGTTGAGGCAGATTTAATAGTACGAAAGCCCATGCAAAAATATCGACATTATTTGATGATAATTTTTAAGACATGTTTTTCGATTTATAACATTTATATTTAAAAAATAAGAGTCTATCAATCGGATCGTGCTACTTTTATACATGCCGGCTGATTTAAAAAATATTAGGCTATCAACTTGAAAATCGAAACAAGAAATTCATTCCGAAAAACGTGGGAAAAGTTTTAATTTTTATAACTTGTATATATTGGTTTAAACATTTAAAAAACAAAATTTCTAATTACCAAGTAAAAAGTTTTCATAACCATAAAATCCAGATGGTTTCGATATATTTTTTTTCAACTATAACTATAACCGAAACGGTGCATCGAAGCGAAAAACTGTATCTTTCAGAAATTAAAGAAAGTTAAATTGTACCTCGAATAAGTACCTAAACTTAATAATTTGGTCAAGTGGTATGGTCAATAACCACGGTAAATGAACGCCGATTTTTATCAAATTCGTCAAAAACAAAGAAAAATAACTGCAAAGGCCCTGCAACTCAGAATTGAGTTCTCTAAGAGAAAAAAAAAATCATAAAATAAAAAATTGTAGAGCATCGGATTCCGTCTCCACAGTTTTAAAATAGGTTAATTACTCCACTTGAAATCAGTATTGAATAGCAATGGCTGGAAATAATGAAAATATCTGTGACTTTAAGTATTTCAACATTATAGTCAGAGGTGCCCAGAAGGGAGGTTTCATGGCGCAAGTTGCACCAACATTTTTGAGAGGGCCACATTTCGACGGGGTTATGAATTTTCAAAATAAATTTTCATATTAAAAGACAAGTGGAAGCATAGGACCGATCGCAGGATGTGTAATTGTATATAATCTATGAATATTTAAATTTTACTTACATTTGCACTGTTTTAAGAAGAAGAGAGGAATAAAATATATTGAAGGGGAAAGGGAGGAGGTGGCGCCACTGAGTATAGGTGTTTATTCTACTGAGATATTTTTGTTAAGAGTCTAGTATATACAGCAAATGTATTTTATTGTGTACATTATAATGTATAATAATACAGAATATAATGAGAGTGGGTAATTATTAAGATGAAGACCGTACCGGCTACGCGTGGTTCACAATCACTTCGATCACTCTTGTTCGTGGAGTGCGGAATGCATCCCCCTTATGGGTCTGTTTTTCGGCGTTTCATGAACAAGTGTGACCAAAGTGATTGTGAACCATTCGTAATCGGTGCGGTCATCATCGAAATTTATAATTGACAACCAGGCTACAAAAGTCTGTAAGTAGAATTTTAGAAAACGTGGTTTTCAATTTTTCTGGTTAATCTTGGTTTTGTGCATATTAAGAAAAATAAACCTAAAACGTTATTTGACACATTAATCATCCTCTTCATTTTCTAATTAATATTAAATGGAAGTTCGAGTCCACAAAATAAGTAAATACGCCGTTTATTTCTACCTATAAACAATTTTTGTTTTTGAACTTGGTGTCGAAATATATTAATATTTATTTATTTTCTACTAAACAAATATCACTTGTTGAACAATTATCTACCTAGATGCTTATGCATTAAAATTCAATTAATTTAATATATAGTATTATTTATTGATAAGAATTTGAAAGTTATAATTATGAGGTAACTTATTATTCTGGCTGTTTAATATGTAAAGAAAAACCTGCAGACTACTAAATATAAAATGTTTTTTGATGAAATCAAAGGAAACATACATGGATTTACAGTAAAACTAAACTTTCATTCTATTAATCAAAATTCATTCATTCATTAAATTAAAATTGATTCATTAATTGACTTAAAATTCATTCATTTTATCTTGT